TAATCATTCATCTTCAGGAAGCACCTTATGCTAGTCATAGCATAGTGGATCCAAAGCCAATCCCGGGAACACTGGGCATGAGGTGGGAGGGAAGCCAGTCCATCACAGGGCACCATGAACACACACATTCACACACTTATTCACACCCAGGGGCAATTTACTGTAGCTAAGTCACTTAGTAAGAGTTTGGGAAACCAGAGAACCTATAGGAAACCCATGCAAACACGGGAAAAGCATATGAAACGCTGCACAGACCCAAGCTCAGGATTGAAGTAACCTGAGCTCAGGAATGATTCGAGGACCTTGGAGATGTGTTGGGAGCGCTACCCACCATGGTATCCTGCTGCATTAAGATGCCCTTACAATTCAATCAAGATATACCTGGTGAACATGGTCCAAAAACAGTAACCCTTGGTGTGAATGAGTCTGTGAATATGAATGTGTGTATGTGGCCCCGAGGTCCATTTTGTACCTCACACCCGATTAACTGACCAATATGTTTTAAATATGTCTTTAGAACCTGCTTAGGAATCACATTTTGATGATGCCTCCCCAAAAAACAAACAAACAAACAAACAAACAAACAAATAAATACAGCTGGCTTGAGAAACCATATGAAATGATATGCTATTATAGCAGTCAGCTGATAATGCCATTGTGCCATCTGACATGGACATACACACAACACTCACGACACTTAGGGCGAGCCAAACCCCATTCAGCGCAAACAGAGCAGAACCCTGCGGCATGGCAAGAGAAGGTGGCTGGCACTCCTGCTACATGAAGCCATAGCTAATGACCATAATGGAAATAGATGATAGGCTTTGCGGGGAGAAAGATCAGCCTCGTATTCTAATAAAGTTCTAACCATCCACACAAATATTCAAACCCAGTTAATCAACCCAGTTTAATTAGGTGCATTTTTCATTGCCGCGTCACACTCTGCTGCTTCAAAACTCCAGAAAGATGAGAGTTCTCCCGCTGCTGTGCTTCTATAGAAACATTTGACACCGATATGCTGAATTTGTAGAAGAGAAGATTTGTTGAAAAGGCGGTCCAATGGAAAAAAAAAAGCCTTTAGCCTGAGCTATAGAGGAAATAGTGATGAACTATTTATTTATTACTCTTGCTATGAGAAGACCCACTTGTGAAATTACGTAATGGTCCCGTGTAAATCTGTCAGTTACTGGCGAGAGGCTGTCTTAGAGGGGAACTTGCAAGATGCCTATATACAATCAAGGTTTTACGGGCCTTTATTCACCCTCTCCTCGGATGTTTTTACTATCACTATTCTCTATCAACCCAGGAAGAAGAACCCACTGTATTTTTTCACCGCTTGCAGAAACGATTCTATCAGAAAATTGGTGCTTGAGGGAGCTTGTGTCAAGGCCACGGCATGTTTGTCAGGCTAGGACAGGCGGGGCACAGCAGTGTTTTATACCGAATGTGTACCGCTAGAACACCTCACAAATCGTTTCATTGTATTACATCACTCATAGCTCTCCTATCTACCAAATCTCCAAGCTAAGCGATAGTCACCAAGCTATTAGCTAGTGTTGTACTTGCAGCCAGTATTTTATATCAATTTCATAAGCTCAGTTTAACATAAAGGAAGTGGCAAATAGACAGGCTGCATAATTCCTTACATCGAGAACAAGCTTTGAACTTATACAACCTTCCTATTCTGCCTGTAAATTAACTCAGACGCTTATGTATAGTGAAATATTGCACCAATATTAGCACCAAGGACCAAGCTTGGAAGCATTTTTTTTTTTTTTTACGGAGTTAGACAGAGCTGAAGGTAAATGGGGGTGTGAAGATACTAAGATTGATAAAATTGTCAAACACACATATTTATTCATCTCCAGCAACCAATTTATTCTGGTCAGTGTCTCAGTGGATCTGGGGCGTATCCTGGGAATGCTGGGCATGAGGTGGGAATACATCCTGGATGGGATGCCATGCACACACGGATTCACACGTTAGATGGGAGGAAACTGGAGAATCCTGAGGAAACTCGCATGGATACAGGGAGAATATGTAATCACCCAAGCTTGGCATAAAACCAGTGACACTGGAGCACACACGCACACACATGTATCACACAAACTTTGGGCAGCAGTGCCAATTTGGTGAGATTTGTGAGATTTCGATTTATTTATTTATTTATTTATTTCCACTGGCATCAACCAACAGGCCTTCAGACCCATGGTCTCTCAGAGGTGCTTGGTGTACACAAAGACATTTAAAAGACATTCATAGACAGTCATAGGTTTTGTCTCTTGAAAATGTAGAACAGGCAGATGTAGAGCCAGATCAAAGTGAAAGAAATATGGACAGTGTCTCTTGATGGACTCATCCTGTGGACACCTCAAGTCAACTGTCATTGGAATAACCCAGTTTTTTAACAAGCTTTAACTAAATCTAAAGAAAACATGTGTCTCTTAAAGATGTAGAATAGACGACTGTTACAGCTGCACACGAAGACATCAAACTTAATCTGGACCAAAAGAGCTAGATCCAGGTGGACAAATAAAAATGGACTGATAACAGTGTCTCTTTATGGACTAATTTATGTCAGGGCCCAATAATGGATATCCGTAGACATCTTTGGTCAGTCAGGTCTCGCTGGGATAACCCAGTTTTCCGAGCTTTGACTAAATGTAGAGCAAACATCAAAATGAAAGATGACTGTTTCTTCAGTGAGAGCACCAAATTTATGAAAATTGTGCTATTGCATTGGTTTACATCATACAACATACAGTAGCAATCACCCATAAAGATGCCACAGCAAACCTCCCAGCCTGATGGAGTTTCAACTAGGGCAGATATCGGGGAGAGCTCAAGAAGGCACAACTGCACAGACGTAGCCAAAGATGTCAGCAGTGACTATTACTCTAAATTCTCAGCTGCGCGGGAGGAAGGAGGCAAAAATGGAGAGCTAACTGAAAGATGGAACAGAAGAAGAGAGAGGGGGAGGGGCAAGAAAGTAACAACTCTCACTACCTCACCTTATTTCTCTTGGAGGAAAAAAAAAAAGGGTTGTTGAGTGAGGAGGCAGAAGCAAGATGAGAGCAGTAACAAATAGAGAGCCTTCGCTAGGTTCTGGGGAGGTGAGATTAAGAGAGTGCTGCTTAGATAAGGACAAAAAAGGGAGAGAAAGGGAGAGACATCACCAGTTTGGGCCAGAAAGAGGCTACGCCTTGTAAAGCACTCGTGGTATTCCAGCTCTATCCTTCATAAACATCTGCAGCCACTCCTTCAACTGCACTCGTTCATTACGAATTGTCTCAGCTATTTGGCAACACAGCACTCGTTCACTGATCTCACGCCCACTCTGTCGTTTTTTTTTTTTTTCTCCTCTGCTCCTCTCACTGACCTTATTGGGAGAAAGTTTTGTGTTCTTGGGTGCTCAGAGCTCGAGACAGCTGCAGTGCTTTATTATTTAAATGTTCAATGAATGCCCTTCTGAGTTGCTCTTTTGCTATAAATGTTGTAAATCAATGTCCTAGCTCTCCTATTTGAAATAAACTGCATGCGTTTCAAGGAGAAGTAAAACTACAACTATGTAGTCACATCATACTGTAATTTCACCACAGGTGTCTCAGATTTAAGGGATGATACGTAAAAAAAATCATTTGACTTCATTCCCTGACATTAAAAGGGTGTCACAACAAATTAGCTGTGATGCCCTTTAATATTCCAGCCTTCACCCGGTGCCACTGACCCCCCAATGAACTGCTGCAGCTTAGCCTTGTGTAATTACGTGTGTACTATTCTAAATGCGAGGCATTGCTTTTAGCAATAACAAAATTACCTATGCAGACAAGGTGGTTTCATTTGTCACTGTGATGTGCACCGAAATGCATAATCGCAGCACCATAACTGATTATGATCTTCATTTCCTATAGACGCTGTTTGCAGCCTCATCAAGGTCATGCTGTAATCACAGGAACTTGAACATTTAATCTTTCCGAGCGACGGGAGTGCAAGTAATGGATTAGGAAATCGCTAGGAAAAGTGAAATTGCAAATGACCCACAGGTCACTTGGCCATAGATACAGTTATCCAGTGACCTAGAAATCAGATTACCATGCAGGGAAAGAGGAAAAATCAAATTGAGGAATAGAGCCTGAGGGAATACCATGCACCTGTGATGATAAAGATTCTTACCTCAAATATACCTAGGGGAATTTCAGGCCAAGTGCACAAAAAAGAAGCTGTCAAATTCATTCTAAAAATTTACCTCCGCAAGGTCTGTTGATGAAAGCAAATGGCTTTATTTGGTCTTGCACGATTTTGTTAAATAATCATTAGCCATCCCTGGTCCTATGCCATGAATAAAAATAACATCTCAAACTTTCAAGGTGACTGGAGTTTGCTGTCACCTCCTTGCCTTTTCCTTCCCTTCCCTCCAACCTGACACTCTGAAATCTTTACTTTGATTAAGCACTTGCAGAAAGCCTCTCTACCTTTAATTACCTCTACCTCAATCATTTTGTTCCGAAAGTATTATATGTGAAATCACGTCCTGCCTAATTAAATAATCATCCCTCACTCTGACAACAAAAGGAGGGCCATCATTAATCATCTCATACCAAAAGGAGAAATGTGAGAATAACTGGAGGCAAGTGTGACCTTTCAGGAAAGAGGTCAGAGTTCCTTGAGTATTTCTAGGCCATCTTAGCTTAGCTGTTATTTTCAGCCAAGTGACCAGTTCTCACTATTCCACTTTTGAACACCAGACACATCATAAAATTAATAGTAACCAAAGTTGTGTTAGAATGTATTTTCCTATTTGAGCTACAATTGTAAATTGAAACGCCATCACCTCCATTTAGCTTCTCACACATTTGTTTGGGTTTGTAACGACTCTTTTTTAAGGTCTGCATATTTGATTTGGCACAGGTTTTACACCGGATGCCCTTCCTGATGCAACCCTCCCGTTTTATCCGGGCTTTGGACCAGCACTGAGAGTGCACTCCTAGTGGCTGGGTTGGTTCCGTGCCCAGGGATCGAACCCCGGGCCACGGCGGTAAGAGCGCAGGATCATTAACTGCTAGACCACCAGGGATGCAGGTATCAAAAAATGTAATAAATAAATAAACTAAAAAAAGGAAATCTGCAAATAGAAAAGAGACAATGCTATCAGAAGAGACAATGCTGTGTGCCAACATCCTTCTGAGGCTGTTTGGGTTCGGGAGCTCCTCATGACCATGTTTAGTTCAAGTGCGTGAGGGAACAAGGGGCTGTTCAGAAGGTTTTGGGGTGTTTCATTTGCTCTCTGCAGGCAGCGCAGGCACACACGCATCTTTCATCGCAGTCTCGCACAATCTCATGAGATTAGCAACTCAGTTGGAAAGGCTCTTGCATACACATTTTTCCCCTTAGCCCCTCTCCTCTGTCTGTACCTTTCGCAGTTGATTTCTTCAGACAATACTCTCCCCTTCTCTCTCTCTCTCTCTCACACACACACACACACACACACACACACACACCCACCCTCTCTCTCCCCACTGCCTGAGGTCACGTGGTTTGGAATTTGAAGCTGAAGTGAAAACTGTGCTGCTATCTCACCCAGCCATATGTACCGTGTCTAGCCTCGACAGAGTTCCTCGCTCATCTGTTTTTTTTTTTCTCCCCCCTCTCAGTCCCTCAGGTTCAGATTGAAGGATCTGGAGGAACTGCATGAAGAGGGCTGTTAAAACTGGTTCCGTTCAGAAGACTGCTTGAGCAGGCAGAAGACCATGTGATGAGGTCAAGACACAGCTCGTTGGCGAGAAGATCGCCGTCCAGTGAAATCGAGTTTATCGACTGCTGGCCTCTCCATTAATCTTTGTGCGTCTTTGATAAATACACTGGCTGCTGTTGCCCGATGACAATCCCTTGATATCCTTTCAGACAACAAACTAATAATCTGCACTGTTCTCCGATATCCGACAATTACCAAGAATCTAGAAGTATCTTCAGGGTACATCTGACTCTATCTCTGCTACGATATGCTTAGATCTCATTTTAATTATGTTTTAAAAAAAAACAACAATATTTATATATTTCCTTCACTATTTTTTCAGCTCAAATTGTGCCATCATTCAAAATCACCTCATTATATCCTCTTCTTCAAGTGCTCAGTGCCACGTAACGGTTTAATTCTCAATTCTGGTTGGCCAGAAGATGATTATTATTTCTTAATTATTTATTTATAGGCATTTATTTAATATTTTGGGAAGGAATCTCATGTGCCAGCACTTTGTAACATCAGAGATAACGTTTTCCGACATGTCTTCGGTACATTCCGCAGTTAAATTGTAACTATAACCTGATAAAAAGTATTGTACTTTTATCAGTAAAACTAGTAACTGTCTGCAAATTGCTGTGGTGTAAGATGAACGAAACATTTTGGGGCATTGCGCTGAGATTTTATTAGAAAAGAATTCACTCTGGGGTGGTGACAGCAACTTCACTTCACATTAGGCCACATCGCACTACTCTGCCGTTGATTATTTTCCTCTAACAGCACTTGACTTTGACATTTCCTTTAGATTAATAATTTCCCAAAGCTAGTCTGTTCATTTCTTACTCTATATAGCTTTACTATGACACTACTGCATATAGCATTTATCTTATTTGTTCACGTTGATTTACCGTAATTTGATTGCAGTCAACTTTGAGTATGTTTTTTGCCTTCTCCTTTAGTTTTGTATTAAAAAAAAAAAAAAAATGGAATAAACTACACCGGCTTACACTTTTCTTCCGGCATTAGTGCTGAACTATGCAGAAATAGCCTATTGTTATCAGTCTCTTGCCTGCAGAGTTTGAGAGGAATTCTGTCACTAAAGGCCCACAGGATGTCTTTCTAATTGGTTTAAATATACACATGTGGGGAAAAGAGGGTTTGCCTGCTCACTACAGCGAATGCGGCATCCTCGCAGCTGGCGAGAATGAACCAATTAGCATCGTGGGTGGGATGAAAGAGATGAAACGTGATCGATTTGATTTAGAAACGCAATTAGCCAACCAGTGCAAAGTACAACCACTTCATTATCTACGCCATCGTGCTAACAACATTAAAATGAATCACCCCCAGACTGTTTGGTCTATGAAGCATGCAGCAACAGGCAAACAATACGCCTTATTAGCCATGCTAGCATTACCATGAGATGCAAAAGAGAGGTTATAAATAATCAATCAACATCAAAAATATATATATATATATATAAAACCTAAAGGCTGCAAACTCTTCCCTCTAAACACACACACACACACACACAAAGGTTGGTGGTCTTTCCTTAGAGTGGATACACATCTCTGGTACATTGTCTTTGCACAAGCTTATGCATGTGAACATTTTATATTGTTTTCACTGTGGATTTTGTGCAAAGACAAGCAAATTACACCATCACACAGCACCTGCATGCACAAACAGCAGGTACACACTTAAATAAGAGCTTTTATGCTATGTCTTTATTAGAGGACTTGGAAATGAGCATATTAACAAGCCAAGATAAATCAACACAATTTGCCCTGCTGGGCTACTCTTACGAGGCACGCAGCATGAAACACACACACATACACACACACAGCTCCAACCCTTAAGGTTCTATCTCCGTTTCATCCTTCTCCAGGAAATAGGAAAAAAACTCAGTTCTGCTTCTCACATTGCTTTTTTCCCACTCAAGCTCCCTGACTCCTCCATTTCTTTACATCGATTTTCCTGTCCATGCTATCTTTACTCTCACTTTTACACTTCCTTTTCCCCTCGCCTCACCTTCCACTGTCTCTGTTGCTCTTTATTTTGGTGAAAATAACATGGTAGCTAACCAGCTTAGAAAAAAAAGCAAAAAAAAAAAGCTTTATGGACCACAATAAAAGGGATCCATATAGTATTAATGACAAATTGTACATACAGTAATAACAGACATGCAGTTTATACGTCAGTCCACATACAGTGGATATAAAAAGTCTACACACCCCTGTTAAAATGGCAAGTTTTTGTGATGAAAAATGTGAAATTATGTGAAATTACAACATATAAAAATCAAGTGAAAAGCAATCAGAAACATTTTAGGGAAAAATAGGAAACTTACAATAAGCTGGCTGCATGAGTGTGCGCGCCCTTTTATAATTGGGGATGTGGCCGTGTTCAGAATGAACCAATCACATTCAATCTCATGTTCAAAAGTAATTAACATACAGCTGTCATCAGTTAATTTATTCTGACTAACCCCAAATAAAGACCAGCTGTTTCTGTAGGATTTTCTTCACATCTTCTTGGTTTCATCCAACTGCTGAAGCCATGGACTGCAAAGAGCTTACGAAGCCTGTACGGGATCTCACTTGTCACAAGGTATCGATCAGGAGAGGGGTATAAATGAATTTGCAGAACATTAGATGTACCATGGAACACTGTGAAGACCATCATCAACAAGTGGAGAAAATGGGGTACCACAGTGACATGACCAAGAACAGGACGTCCCACCAAAATTTACAAAAAGACAGGACAAAATCTTACCAGGGAGGCTGCCAAGACACCAACGGCAACATTAAAGGAGCTGCAGGAATATATGACAAGTACTGATTACTCTCTCCATGTGAGAACAATCTCTCCTATTCTTCACATGTCTGGGCTATGGGCTAAAGTGGCTAGACAGAAGCCAAAATGTGTAATGGTCTGATGAGACCAATTCCAAAATGTATAATAATTCCATAATTCCAAAAGCTATTTTTGTTGCAAAAAAAAAGCACATCACCAAAAGAACACCATACCCACGCTGAAACATGGTGGTGGCAGCATCTTGCTTTAGGGCTACATTTCTTCAGCCAGAACTGGGGCTTTATTCAAGGTGGAGGGAATCATGAATAGCTTCAAATACCAGTCAATCTTAGTTTAAAACATTCAGGTGTCTGCTAGTATTGAAGATGAAAAGGAATTTCACGTTTCAGCACAACATCCAGATCAACAAAGGAACGGCTTAACCAAAAGACTTATGCAGCCAGATTATTGTTAAGTTTTTATTTTTCCTATTTTAGGGAAATTTATATACGTTGTAATTTCATATTGAGGGTGGAAAAAGTTCAGACATGATTTATCTTGGTTTCATTTTTTTTTTAATCACAAAAACCTGCCATTTTAATAGGGGTATATAGACTTTTTATATCCATTGTATTGTCACATGCTGTTAACGGTTATAAATATCTTAATTGGCTCAATAAGCACTAAAAAAGAATTATGAAGTTACAGATAATTTAGTGCCATTTTCTATTAAAATTCATTGAATTAAAAATTAATTATAATTTCCTGTCTTTAAGCAAAGGCTTAATGATCCTGTCTGATTTCTTACAATCCATGGATGTACACTTATAAAGTCGCTCCACGTGAACACAGACACCAAGATACTAACTAAATGCAACTGACTGGATGAGTTTATCCCTAATAGATAACATAAGACCAAACCACTCAGCTGTGGCTACTAAATGTGAATCGATGATGCATCATTAGGCACAGAACATCATTTAATTAACAGAATCAATGAAATGACTAAATAAACTAATTAAATACCAAGTCATACAGAAGAGGAAATAATAAAGCAATAAGCCGTGAGTGGGTGTGCGTCACAGTGATTTTATCATGGGTAATGGCATTGTTAAGCATGATGCGAAGTGATATTTTCAAGCATGTTTGATATTGTGGATATTAAATCTTGTAGTGTGAGCACCTCAATGACAAGTAGCAAGAATACAGATGAGAAACAGCCAACGAGAGTCTGAGAGGAAATCAAATTCATCTGCACTCACGCGCAGCAGATCCCTGAATCCAGCTTATCATCCATCTATCCATCCATCTACAAATTATTTGGCATGTCAAACCCAAGTGGTCACTAGACACAGTAAATATAAAAAACGAGCAGATTCCTGGCGGCACACAATATAAAAATGGCTACGTCTCTATTTTCTATACCTCCAGTTCTCTTTGCAGAACAGACAGAAGCCTGCATTCTCTCAATCAGTCCTTCCTCCACAGTTTTCTCGTACTTGTCTTTCCTAGTTCTCATAAAAAATAGTGAAGATAGACTG